ATTTAAGTTTTAAATTTACTAGACTTTTTGTTTTTTCTTTCTCTTTTTTTTTTTTTTGAATAGCTTAAAAATAGTACAAAATGTAAAAATAAACTCCTCCAAATAAATTTTAAGAATTTGTCGATAAAATGAAATGAAAGCAAAGTTACAAATGGCAACGTTTATGTCTTATTTCGATGATTTGAATTGAAATTTTTGATAAAATGAATAGCCTAAGCCTTCTTTTTTTCGCTTTTAATTTTTTTTTTCTTTTCATCTTTGTCCCATATATCACCAATTTTTCATCCTTTTCCATTCACTTTCCTTTTCCATTTTAACATTCGAAAAGTTTTAAACTATAAAATTTTGAAATGTATAATTTAATCAATGATAGCAATATGATAAGTAAATGAATAATACTATAAAATAAAAACAAATGAATGAAGTAAATTAGTATAAATTTTCAAAAATATTTTGTATCATTTAGTTATACTACTAGTTTTAAACTATAAAATTTTCAAATGTATAATTTAATCATTAATAATAACATGATAAGTAAATGAATAATACTATAAAATAAAAGCAAATGAATGAAGTAAATTAGTAAATTTCCAAAAATATTTTGTACCATCGATTATACTACTAATTAATTAATTGAAAGACAAGAAATAATAGTATGAATAACAATGTTGTAAAACGTTGCCAGATAAATGTGCAATAAAAAATTACAAGAAAGCAATTAATTCGATACTTAAAAGATAAAATGCATTCATTTAATTGTTTAATGTAAACAAGTACCATTTTACAATAAGTATTTTAATAGATTAGGCATATCATTACAATATATTCTTATAGGAAATTGTAATTTGAAATAAAATGTGATACAAAAATAGGAAGAAACAAAGGTATTATTGCATTTCGAATATTTATTATTTATTTTTTCAATTAAAAGGAAAAAAATGAAAAAATCGAAGAAAAAAAACGAATTGAAAGTTAAAGAAAATTTTAAAAAATCAAAACAAAATCTCAAAAATCAAATATAAAATCGTAAAAATTTATTTGATATATGATTCTTATCAAAAAAAAAAAATTTTTTATTCAAAAATGAAAAGTCTTTTTTTTTGTTTTTAATCGAGAAAAAAAGTGAATAACATAGAAAAGATTTGTTTTTTATTTTTTTTTTCGCTCCATTACTTTCATCTAATATTACAGGTATGTATGAAATGAGAAATAATTATAAAAATGAAAATTTCATGCCATTAACTAAACTGATTTATCATTTTCATTCAATTTAGAGAATACGAAAAGGAGCGAAAAAAAAAAAAAAAAATTTATTAAACTATTTTTATTTGTACCAAAACTTGTTGTTAATAGAATTTTAGCTTTCTATTAATTCAATAATACTATATTTTAAAATTGATTTTCCTTTTTTTTAAAAAAAATAAACTAAAATATTCAGTTATTAATATCATTTTGTGATTTCTTATCAGTATTCAAATTTTATTTTGGCTATTATTAATCGATGAATGATTAATGTTTATCAAATTAGAAATGTATGAGTTAAAATGTTTCTGCAGTATTTATCTATTTATTTTTAAAATTTTTCTACAATATTTGTCATTTCATCGCTTTTTTTTTTTTTTTTGCAATTGATCTAGATATGCAAATTAGTTGAATTGTTTCAAAAAGTTTTAAAATAAAAAAACTAAAGAATACTTTATAAGATAATTTAATGAAATTTAAATGATGCAATCGAATAAGAATATTGTGAAATGTCAAAGGTCATACATATATATATGTATACACACATCATTATATTGTTGTATTTAGACAGATACGTGTTCACTAAAGGAGGAAAAAATTTCCAATTGAAATATGTTTATGAAATATATTAAAACGACTAATAAGTAATAGTATATGGTAATTTTTAAATAAATATTGTTTAATTTTTAATTTTCAAATTAATTATTAAATATTGTAACATTTAGTTAAATTATTTGTTTCTTTCTTTTTTTTTTCATAAATTATCAAGCAAAAATATTTTTTACTTTTGAAAACCAATAAAAAAAAAAAGAAAATAATAACAAAAACAAAAAAGAGAGAAAACATACAGCTCTAATTTGTTGACGTATTTTTTCGTCAATAATACGTGAAATACTACGTGCCGGAACATTTGCAGTGAATTGATTACGTTCCGGATTATTTTCATCCAAGTTCACAAATGTTGAATTAGTCGTAACATCAACATGTGGATGATCATCGATGGTGACAGTGAACATTTCATTGGAATTAAAATTTTCATCAAATGATGAAATTGATGGACTATGTGCTTCTTCAGCATCAATATCAGCTTTCGTTTCCGAATATTGTTCCGATAATTTTATAATTTCCGATTTTGCATTTTTATTTGTTGTTTGTGAATTGGATTTTGACATATTTTCGCATAATTCATTAGCACGATTAATCTGAAAAGAAAAAAAAAAGGAAGCAATGTTGTATTTGTTAAATTTAAAAAATTTCGAGAATCTTTTCCTTTCTTTTTTTTTATTTTGGAAATCATTTCGATAGAATTTTTGCTAAAAGTTTTTAATTTAGAAAAAAGGTATAAAAGTTAAAATAAAGTTTTACAAAGTTTTCCTAAACTATTCAATTCTTTGTTAATGGAAAATTATTAATTTCCTCCTTTTAATTCTTTAATATCGAAAAATTTTACAATTGAATGAATCACTTTCAATTTTGTTGATATATTG